GTTAATGGAACAGTCATAATCAGCACAGAATGTTTGTTTTGTCTCTACTGATCAAATAAAACATGCTAGCAAGGCTGGACTTGATTCCCATTCACTTTTTCTTTTTCATTGCCAAGATCACCTCCACCCACTGGCTCCCACCATGTATCCCCTTCTTCCTGTAAGGAACTGGCAAGATCAGTCCAATTCTAGGATATACACCTCACAATGAATTTGAACAAGTCAGCCATACACTGCTATCTCGCACAACACCAGAAGTTAAGTTATAGTTTTTAGGGGATTGTGTGTGTGTGTGTGTGTGTGTGTGTGTGTGTGTGTTTTGGGTTTTTGCCTTAGAGTAAATGCACTCGCCAGAGAGGAGAAAGAGGGAAGTGAGAAATCACCCCTCAGGGGGATGGCCATGCCTCAGTCCCTTCTCCTCCATTCTCCTCTCTGGTTTTTCGATGTGTAATCAAAATTTCCCAGGGTGATTTTCAAGCCACTGGGTTTCGGATTCTAGCCATGATCAGCCATGTGGGAATTTAGCTACCTTAATCACCATGCCATCTGTTGCCCCCCTAAGTTATAGTTTTAAAATGAATGAGTAATTACAGGGTTAAAGAAAAGGCAGAACCTCCAACATACATTGTACCACAGAGCTTGCCAAATCTGCAAAGGAAACAGGAACTAAATCAAACACGCCACCCCTTTAGTCTCTAATCAGATGCCATGTCAAATGCTGCTTAGAGATAGATTGTCATAGAACAGTATAAACCATACACAAGTCTGAAGTTGTAGTTCTTTTTACTAAGAGGATACACACACTCAGATACAAAGAGCCTCTAAACTAGAAGAGTAAGGTGGGTATGCAGTTATAATAAAATGGAAATTAAAATGTTTTAGTGGTTCGAAGGAAATTATATCCAATTAAAGAAATAGAAGGGCTGGTTGTATAGAAGATGGCATTTGATGGGACCCTCAAAGGCAGGTACGATTTTAACATGCAAAGTTTTAGGATGGAGCGTATGCATTGCAGGCTAAGGGAAGATGTATGAAAAGGACAAGGAGTTGGAACGTATATGGGGAGTTCAGATAATAAATTGTATCAATCAACGTCCTCTCTTGGTGATCCGGCCCATGAAGCCCTTCCTGTTCTCTCCCAGATACCTGTCCATCCCACTTCTCCAATAGCTTCTCCAGTGTTTGAGCTGTGATTGTTCCTTCCAAATGCCATGCTTCACTTACATGCAGCTTCTTCTCCCAGCATAACCTGCTGTCTTTATGTCTGCAGTGCTACCTACCCATCCTATTTCTCTGAAAATTCTAACATCTTTTAACTGGACAGTGCAGTAAAGAACCTCAGGGGTGGGAACCAGCAGTTAGCATAATGGCTATGTCGCTGGACTCCCATGTAGTCGACTGCCGTTCACGTCCCAGACCCAGTGGCTTAGAACTCACGCTGGGCGCGTGTGCGTGCGTGCCCAAGATCCCGAGAGGAGAATGGAGGAGAAGGGATTGCGGTGTGACCATCCCCTCTGGGGTGGGGGTGGTTTCTCGCTTTCTGTCTCTATGTCTCTCTGTCTGTCTGGCAAGCGCATGCGCCCTATAGTGAAAAACTCTCAAAAAAATAAAAAATAAAAAAAGAACCTCAGGGGTGATTACTTTCATTGTTGCTTCTCTTGCCCTAATTTTCACTTTAAGCTTTCTTATTGCCATGAAACCTACCTTTTGCATCTCTTCTCTTATCCCTAGAAGGTCTAAAATTACTGACAGGACTGGTTATATTCAGTAGCCAGAGGCAGTAGCCTTTGCTTCCATAGAAAGCCACACCCTGCTTCTGGTTTACCGTAATTTCCATGTGAGGAATCAAAAGAACCAGACAGAACCAGCATGCTCTCCTACTGATAGGAAACACCTGTTCTAACAAAAAGAGTTCCAGTAAAATCTGTTTGCAAGTCTGGCTTTGTTAGTGGTTAATTAGTAAAAAATAATCTGGTTAAAGCATAGCCTATACCAATTCTTTGTGACTTTCATGTGCATCAGAGTCACTTTGGAATCTTGTTAAAATGCAAATTCTAGTCAGGACTGCTGTCTGAGCCTGTTTCCAATTAATCTCCAGGTGATGTCAAAGCTATTGAGCCATAAAATACACTTTGAGTAGCCACATTGTAGAGAATATTGGAGAATTTCAAAGTTGAATCATAGGCCATGTTGCTGGCTTCAGTAAACAGTGAGGAGTGTCAGGGTCAGGCACTGGCTATTCAAACATGAACAATGACTAAGAGAGGCATGGTTCCTCAAAGATTTTAGAGTGTAGGAGGGAGAAAAACGTAGTCACAGAAATTTAAAATACTGTGGTAAGTGCAGGATACTTCAGGTACCTGTGGAGAGTTTCTTAGCTTAAGGGCACCATCTCAAACACCCAGGTAGGCAGAGGAGGAGCCTCTGAAGGATAGACTAAGAGGAAATGGTCAGAGTAGGTAGGAGGAGAACCAAAAGATAGTAGAAACATGGAAACCAAAGAAATAGTGGAGAGAATTCAAGGAAGACTGGGTGTTCAGATGACACAGAGAAGTCTGACACGAGGCAGTCATTCACATGCCTAGTGGTGTTCAGCACAGAGATAGGCCAGGGATATGTGATGTTACCATGTAGCCAAACTTCATCATCTTACGAATAAGAAAACTTAGGAACCAGCAGTTAGCGTAATGGCTATGTTGCTGGACTCCCATGTAGTCGACTGCGGTTCAAGTCCCAGACCCGGTGGCTTAAACTCACGCCAGACGCGTGTGCGTGCGTGCCCAAGATCCCGAGAGGAGAATGGAGGAGAAGGGATTGCGGCATGGCCATCCCCCCAGGGGGTGATTTCTCACTTTCTATCTCTGTCTCTCTCTGTCTGGCTGGCAAGCGCATGCGCCCTATAGAAAAACCTCTTCAAAAAAAAAGAAAACTTAGACCTCAGGAAGGTGACTTGCCCCAAGCCACATAATTCTTAACAATAGTGTTAGATTTATTGATGCCAAAAAAAATGTTAAAAAGAAAATCAAGGCCAGTAGGTGACATAGTGGTTAAGGCACTGGACTCGCACATGGCCAATCAGTTTTAGTTCCAGGCCTGGCAGCTAGAAAAACATGCTGGAGGCATGCATGTGTGTGCCTAAAATCCCAGCAGCTAAATGAAGGAGAAGGAATTGCAGCATGACCATCCCCCCTGGGGAGGGGGCGATTTTCCACTTTCCTTCTCACTGTCTCTCTCTGTCTCTTTGTCTCTATGAGCACACATGCCCTATGGCAAAAACCTTAAAAAAAAAAAAAAAGAAAAGAAAAAGTAAACCAAAACCATAGAAGTACAAATGTATGTAGCACAAAATTTTATTATGTAAAAAATCATACTAACATTGACAATTAGAAAGGGTTATTAACATATAAGATATGTACTTTTTGTCCAAATACCCTGTTAGGCACTGCCACTCACATTATCTTGTTCTATCCCAGAAGGGACCTGTAACATTCCCCTTTATATTGTGGAGACATTTCTGACTCTAGTGGCCTACATGACAGAGGCACATGAGTAACTCATTGCAGGAGGCCTGGGAAATAAAGATTGGTGAGATTTCGAGAGCCATAGGTCATCATTGCTGCTGGGTGGTCCTTCTCTGGCAAGCAAGAAGATACTTCTCCACTCTAAGAAGATCCTAAATGAACATTAGTAACACATGTCTGTGTTATGATTAGGTATAGCTCTGGAAGGCAAAGCAAATCACTTCAGAAATGACTTTGCTTAGAGTTCCTCACATGCAGTAAATTATTAGATTTTACTGATTTTGTGTCTTGTAACTCAGTTTGAGGCTGACAGACGTGCTTTTATCATCACTCTCAACTCCTTTGGCACTGAATTGAGCAAAGAAGACCGGGAGACCCTCTACCCAGCCTGTGGCAAGCTCTATCCTGAGGGGTTGCGCCTATTGGCTCAAGCAGAAGACTTTGACCAGATGAAGAGAGTGGCAGAGAATTATGGAGTACGTGACTGCACTGGGTTCCCTAAGGGTTCTGGGTTCCCTAAGTGCTCTGTGTTATTTCATCACATGTACTTTAGAAGCTCATACATAAAATTTACACTTCATATCCAAAAAAAACTATGTTTATAAGGTAGCAAGTAGTGCCTCTCCCAGAGAAATACTTCACTTTTCTAGCCCAAGCCAGTGTTTTTAATGAATCCCTGTGACTTGATCAATATGAGCTCTTGGGTTCTTTAAGATGACAATGCAAAGGAGTAGAAACTTGAGAGAAGCTCATATTTTTAATATTATGCCAAAGAGCCTCATGCAGTCACATATGAGATATTACAAAGATTTATTATTTGTTGTCTTTGTTGTTCTTTTCTGGAGGGCTTCAAAAATCCACAGGAAAACAAGAGTGTCGCTCTAATCCTGGAAAAAGACTAGAACATACATATGTAACTGTCCACAAGCCAGAGGGATGAGAATGAATATAAGACGAGGTAGATAACTTTAAACTGAGACTATTTGGGCTCTTCATGAGGAGTTGGAAGTTGGGGTAGAAAGGGAATAAGCTGCTCTTTCCTTTTCAGATTTCTAACCACTGAGCAAAGAGAGCAGAAAAACCAACATATCCATAATCTCCCGTGTAGTCCCGTAGGCATTCTATACCTTGTCTTCCTTCTCCAGTGGGTAGCTGGAAGGACCACTGAGTTGGGCTATTTTACATAACTATGACATGAGCTCACATTTCCAGAACTCTACACCAGTCTCTCCGGGAACTTGCTTAATAAAAGACTTGAAATGTACATAGAAAATGTACATTGATTTCTTGTTAGGAAAATAATTCATATACATATATATAAGAAATAGAATTTAATTCATCTCTTGTCTTTGCCTTTAAGGTATACAAGCCTCTGTTTGAGGCTGTCGGTGGCAATGCAGGAAAGACATTGGAAGACGTGTTTTATGAGCATGAGGTATGAATGATACAAGAGGGAATGCTAGGAGTCTATTTACTTTTTTCTTACAGTGAGTTTTAAATATGTTCTTACTTTGAGTTTTCGTTTTACTGTTGATCAGGCCAATTGATTAAACATATTCATGGCTTATGGTCAATAATGCCTTAGTAACTCTGCCTTGAAAAGCTTGAGCCCTGTGGCTCCCAACTGAGAGCTTCACCTGGAATTGTCCCATCCGGGCAGAAGCACACACAGCGAAAATCTGGAAGGAGTGCACTTATCTATAATTAACTAATTAAAGAGGCAAAGTCAGGACATTTTCATGATCAAATCCTGACTGCCCTCATTCTGTTTGTGCATCTCACTCTCCAGTCCATTTCTTCTTCCAGAAGAGTTTATACATGGTTATTATATAACACGTAGGCACAATTATTAGCCTTAGGAAGTATTCACATGGAATTCATCCAGAAAGTTACAATTATCCTCTTGTCAAAAAAGTGCAGAAGAGTACTCAATCTATTTAGAATCCATTTCTGGGCTACTGTACTGTTCAAAGGGGCTGTTTTATAGTTTTCGGTTTTATTTTGGGGATAATTTACAGAGTGGGAGAAGGGTCTTGGTATCATGTAAAGTCTCCCAAATTTCGAGAATTTTTATAGTGTATTTTGTTAATTCCTCTAAAACCATTGGTCCAACTATCCCAGTCTGAAATTTACCAATAATGTTAGGGTTAAACTGAATGTAAAAAGCCAATTGAGAACCTTCCTGTTCGACATTTTTCAGCAACTGTTTAGTGTCTAACATAGGGAAGTAAAAATGATGCAAATTATCTACTATATTAAGGATGTTTTAAAACCCCACACCATTTCACTGGCGTTGCAAAGGATGCTGTAAAGGAAACTGCCTTTGGCAGGAAAAATTAGTGTCTCTCCCTGAGGACAGAGGTGGCCTCCACTTGCTGGCCACTTTGCTTGAGGTTTTTAGAGGGACTCAGTACTGCTCCTTTATCCTTTTTAAATTCCAAAAGTCAAAATGGAAGAGAATACAATAATGATTCTATTTCAGACTTTATCTCAGTTTAAAAATTGTTTTTTAATTGTCTTGTGCTCGCCTAACTTATTTCCAAAAAATTTCAACTCTCTGTAAAGTTGCTGCAGAACATTTTAAGAATCATATCAGAGTCTAAATTCCAGGTCCCTGTGACATTGCCCTAGAGGTGAGTTAGAAGACCCATAGACCTTTTAAATTTTTGAAAGTTGTGGCCAAGAAAAAATACTTTACCTAAAGGAGATAAGCCCACTCACTGGAAACCAGATAAATATTACCACAAAATTACACACGACCCCCAGAGTTGTCCTGGGAATCTTTCTGCTAGCAGTGCTGCTAAGATTTGGTTTTGTCTTGTGATTCTACAAACCTTTATTTTAAAAAAAAAAAAAGCTGATTTATTTTCCAAAGTGAGGGAGAGGCACCCTCAATGGCTATCTGGTCCTGCAGCCAGAACCATGCGCTTGCCTAGTGTGCTCAGATAGACCCAGGACACAAACCTGGAGCCTTTCCACATGGTTTTTAGCATCACACAGAAGGGCCCCTCTAGCCTGCATCACTGTGGCTGGGCCAAAATTTACTTTTTTTTTTTTTTAGAGGTTTTTGCTATAGGGCGCGTGCGCTCGCCAGACAGACAGAGACAGAGAGATAGAAAGCGAGAAATCACCCCCCAGGGGGGATGGTCACGCCGCAATCCCTTCTCCTCCATTCTCCTCTCGGGATCCTGGGCACGCACGCACACGTGCCCGGCGTGAGTTTAAGCCACCGGGTCCGAGACGCGAACCGCGGTCGACTACATGAGAGTCCCGCGACATAGCCATTACAGTAACCACTGGTTCCCCCAAAATTTACTTTTTAAACTACTCTTGCCTACCTTTATCTGCAGTGGGTCCCCCAATACAACGTGCTGCGTTGTCACTGTTGTTCTCCGTTTGGTCCAGTTTGGACATCATCTACTTACACACAAACAAGCACTGCACAAGACAGATGGCAGCTTAGTATCACGTCATACGTGTAGTATGTTCCGAATAACCTGATGCTCCATGTTACTGTTTTCCTTCCTCAGGTACAAATGAATGTATTGGCATTCAACAGGCAATTCCACTACGGCGTGTTTTACGCATACGTAAAGCTAAAGGAACAAGAAATGAGAAACATTGTGTGGATAGCCGAGTGCATTTCACAGAGACATCGAACGAAAATCAACAGTTACATTCCAATTTTATAATGCAGTGGAGGGGGTCAGATGCAGAAAATTATAAATAATGAAAGGAAGTTATTGAGGAAAATAAAAAGTATTGTGCTATTTTATCTAGGTTATGCAAATAAGGCTACAGCTTCAAGAATTGCAGAGTCACTGGGAACACCTTACACCAACGCTGAAACAAAGCATTTCTATTTTCAGATTCCTTAAATCTTGTTTCTACATTTATGTCTCATTCTTCACTGGGTCTTAAATGGTCATTTTTAATAAACCCTCTGGCACTTTTTCTATTCATGTTGGATCATGTTAAAAATTAGACCTAATAAAAGAATTTTCTTCTTCTTCTGTTTCTTTTCTTTCAAAGAGAGATTTTTGCTATAGGGCACATGCACTCGCCAGAGAGACAGAAAGTGAGAAATCTTTCCCCTTACACCCCCGGGAGAGATGGCCACACTGCAGTCCCTTCACCTCCACTCTCCTCTCAGGATTTTGGGTACACACGCACACGCATCCAGCATGAGTTTTAAGCCACTGGGTACAAGACACGAACTGTGATCGACTACTTAGGAGTCCAGCAATATAACAATTATGCCATCTGCTGATCCTACAAGTATTTTATTCTTTTCCATCCTTGTCCACAGGACTAAATACTGAGTATCTGCTTCACTTTTTAACTCTCTATTCCTGTCCTAGGTAAACAAAACTCCAAAGCTGTATGTAGCTATCATGACCACATTTAATGGGAAATGCATATTTTTTCTAATATACTTTGATTTGGTAGGCTTGAGAATGATTCTCCAGATGCAAGAAGTATTAAACTTGTTAATAAATTAGTTTCATACAACTTTCTTTAAATAAGTGATCTCTCTCTCTCTCTCTCTCTCTCTCTCTTTAATTGCCAGGGGGCATGTGTGCTTGCTAGAGAAAGAGAAAGCATCCTTTGGTGGGTTGTGGTCATGCTGCAATCCCTTCTCCATTTCTCCATACCATCAGAATTTGTGGTACACACACACACATATGCACCCAGCATGTTTATCAAACCATCGTGGCTAGGACTTAAACAGTAGTCAGCCATCCCAAAATCCCCGGGGAGAAGGGATTGTTACATGACCAACTCCCCGGAGGGTGATTTTGCACTTTCCCTCTTACTGTCTTTGTCTGTCTCTGTCTCTGTCTCTTTCTCTCTCTCTCCTCCCAGTGAGCACACGAGCCCTAAGGCAAAACCTCTACCAAAAAAAAACCCAAAACAATCCACAGTGGTTGGCCATGTGGGTTGTAGCTCTCTATGCAGGGTTTGACCACCGCACTATGGAACTGTCCCAGACAGTATGCCACTCTTGCTTGTGGGTTCTTCATACTTCACCTGAGAAAAGCTAAACCTACTCCTGTATTTTATTCATTGAGCAGCAAAAATGAGACATTCCATTTGCAGAGTATGGGTTTTTCATAAAACTTCAGTAAAATTAGTACATGAAACTACCCAGAAAAAGTAACGAAACACTGATCAGGTCCTTTCTTTAAATATAAGGGCTATTTCCTAAGTATAAAAATTAGTATTTTCTATTTTAAAAATTAAACTTATATACATATTTTAAAAGTACTCATATGAGAACATTTACAGAAAATGTATACACATTGATATCCAGAATTAAGTGTGTAAACCAATGAGTAAATCAATTTTTCTGCTAAAATTCATGTTTTTTTGGTTGTTTTTGAAGAGGTTTTTGCTGTTGGGTGTGTGCGTCTGCCAAAATGACAGAGAGAGAGAGACAGACAGACAGAGAGACAGAAAGCGAGAAATCACCCCCAGGGGGGATGATCATGCTGCAATCCCTTCTCCTCCATTCTCCTCTCGGGATCTTGGGCACGCACGCACACGCACCCGGCGTGATACGGGGTACAGGAGTCAAACCACGGTGGACTAGATGGGAGTCCAGTGACATAACCATTACGCCAACTGCTGGTCCCCAACTTGTTTTTAGTATGAAAATATCTTAGTAATTTTAGTGATAGAGATTTTAAAGCAAAACAAACAATAGCAGCTCATAGATCCAGAAAGCAACCCAAATGCCCAGCCTCACACCTACGCTGAAAGCCAAACCCACAGGCATGTGCTGATGCTGTCTGAGAGTCTATGCCCTGTAGAGGGCTTCCATGCAGACCCATTAATTACAGTGAAATGCCCATTGAACAAGTGCAACCCTGGTCTGGAAAACCTTCTTGCCCTGCTCAGGCCACTGTCCCTCATACTAGAGCTTGGGCCAGGAGACACCTGCATTTTATACTTTAATCTGTGGTGTCTCTAGTGGAGAGTTTATTAAGACTTTGGACTTCTTTAAGTTTGGGAGCAAAGATGCTAATTGAAAAGGGGTAGTTTAGAGAGAGAATGACAATGATTCTCAGACTAACTCTTTCCTACTTACCTCTGTATGATACAGTAGGGACCCTTAATTTGCCATAAGACTGCAAGCTGAAGTTAAACTCCCTTTCCCTGTATATAAACAATAAAGACTCTAATCTCCCAAACATCCTCCCAGCCACCTAATAGCCCAACCATTGCTTGACTAGAGAAGAAAGAAACTTCCCTAAAAACCCTTGAGGCAAACACAATGGTCCTCTTTCATGGGTAAGACTATTCATAGCATTTGGAAAAAAAAAAAAATTACCTTGGGGCCATAGTGGTTAAGAGGCTGGATCACACATGACTGACTGCAGTCATCACCCATGACTGACTACAGTACGAGTCCCAGACCTAGAGGCTTGGAATTCACACCATGCACATGTGTGTGTGTGCCCAAAATCCTGAGAGAGAATGGAGAAGGTATTGCGAAGTGGCTATTCACCCAAAGGAGTGACTTCTCACTCTTTTTCTCACTGTCTCTCTGTCTCTAGGGCAGGTGCACCTGCCCTACAGCAAAAATCTGGGGGAGAGAAGGAGGAAAAATATTTTCTTGAAGTCTTAGAGCTTCTAAGTGGCTGCACTGAGGTTTGATGACTCCATTATGTCTCAAGGAACCAGCCAATGGAGGACATAGATTTTGCCAGTCCTTCAGATTTCCTCTTCTATTGTCTTGGAACATAATAGTCCAATTAATTCTACACCTAGAATTCCTCACACTGTGCAGGCAGTCCTGCTACAGTTGTCTAGCCACAACCAGACAGCTCTTCTTGCACTTCTTTCAGCATTGTTTTCCTGGGTTAATCAGCTACCTGTGGGGAGGCACTTCTGGGTCCTTCCCGAGGTTTTACAGTGGAAGAATCGAGGTACACGATGAGACACAAATGAAGCAGCTGTGACTTGCAAGGTATTTGGAGGACTTCCAGGAAGAAATGCAGTTATTTCAGTTGTTCAACTGCTTTAGGAATGAGCAGCACTGACTGAAGGCAGGTGGAAATGGCCCTCCTGCAAATGGGTAAGTTTGGCCCAAGGCTGAGTTTACTGGGCACTGAAAAAAATTCAGTTAACCAGTTTGAAGGGCCCCTCCCTTCCTCCTCAGGATGACAACAAGGTAAAATGACATTGAGAAGGTTAAAAGAAAGCTTTCTAGAGTGGAGGACAAAGACCCGTTGATGATCAGATCTAAAGGGCTTCATTCATGGCAACTCATAAGTCTACCACTTTAAAAATGCTTTTCATTATATCTCAGAGGCTAGCAGATAGCGTAGCGGTTACATCCCTGGACACTCACATGGCCAACTGTGGTTCCAGTCCTGTTGGCTCGAAACTCATGTCAGACACATGTGTGTGTGTGCCCAAGATCCCGGGAGGAGAATGGAGGAGAAGGGATTGTGGTGTGGCCATTCTCCCTGGGGGTTGATTTTTCACTTGCCCTGTTACTGTCTCTGTCTCTTCCTCGAGTGAGTGCACACACCCTAAAGCAAAACCTCTAAAAAAAAATGATGTCTTAGATCTCTTAGATAAGACATGGGAAGGATGCATTTATAGTTGCACTCTGTTTGGTCTTAGTTTCAGGAGCAGACAAACTGCTCCCTATCATATGACTCGTTTTCTTCATTTTGCGTCCTTTTCTCTTCACTTCAATAAATTGAAGCATTAATATAATAACTACATATATTGAATAAGAATTGCTGGGGAATACGTGACCTTCCCAGAGGGCACCATTCTTAGTGATTTCATCCCTTCTGTCTCACCATAGCTGAGCCCAGGAGTTTTGATGTCATTTTGGATGACTGCATAGTCATTAAAAAAAAATGTGTAAGTTTTATGCACATACAAAAATAGAATGTAGGAACTATAATAAAGCCCAAACCACCTTCCCTAAGTAATTTCTCCTCTCTCACATCTTCATTATTCCATCTGGCTCCTCATCAGTGACTTCTCCACCCACTCCCCTTTTCTCCTTCGTCACCTTGTGCTGCAGTTTGCAGCTTCCACCTCTGACAGAGGCTGATCGCTAACTGAAATCCAACTGCTCCCGCACTCAGCATGGATGGCATCTGGCTGCTTATGTAAGGGAGAACAAGTTGGAATTATCTCTGAAAATAAGGAAGAGTAAGAAAAGAAGAGGCATGTAGAAACTAGCGTGAATATCAATACCCTAGAAAGGAGTTCTCCCTAGAGAATGATCACTCTATCCAGATCCACAAATGCAAGATGACAGCTAGGATCATGGACAACATTTAGAAGCACATCACTAGCTCTATGGTACTGGTGCTTCTGGTACTTCTGAGACTGTTGGTACTTGCTAGCTAGTATGCATTTCTTACTGGCAATAAGATAGTAGCGAGATTCACTGACGTTGAATTTAGCTCTTCAACAGTGAAAGTCATTGTTACCTTCATTATCTTATGAAAAATAGAAACTCTAGATTTTAAATAGTATGTGTATTTTCTCATCCTACTTTTTTAGGTGCTTTTTCTTTTCTTTTCTTTCCTTTCCTTTTTTTTAGAGAGATTTTTGCTATACCATGTATCCACTCACCAGACAAACAGAGAGATAGAAAGCAAGAAATTTCCTGCCGGGGGGAGGATGGCCATGCTGCAGTTTCTTCTCTATTCTCCTCTCAGGATCTTGGGCATGCACACACACTTGCCCGGAGTGAGTTTTAAGTTACGGGGTCCAGGACTCGAGCTGTGGTGGGCTACGCGGGAATCCAGAGACATAACTATTACGTCATCTACTTGTTCCTATAGGTGCTTTTTAAATTAAAACATCCAATAATTTCTCTACTCAGCTGTTAATGCTGAGATGCATATTTGTGTATTATGTAAAGTGCTTATTATTTTATATTTTTGGTTTCTTTCTATTTAGGTTTTCTAAATTTTATAATATTAGTGTGAGTGGACACTAATATGTTTTACTTTATTTCTTCCACATGAG